GTGTCAAAGGCCTTCTTAAAGTCTAGAAAGACTACGTCCACGGCGACACCATCATCCAAGGATTTAGTCACCTGGTCATAAAAGGCAACCAGGTTGGTCAGGCAGGACCTGCCTTTGATGAACCCATGCTTCCTTATGTCCAGCCTGAAACGGTCTTGCAGGAGTTTATAACCGTTTGACCTTGTCATCCCTTGGGGTTCTCTGGTGAACAGAAGTTTCCCCAGATCCTGGTGAACACCCCTGATAAATTTATAGGTGGTCATCAGATCACCCCTGAGCCTGTGCTTTTCCAGGCTGAAGAGTCCCATAGCTCTCAGCCTGTCATCTTAAGGTCTGTTTTCCTGAACTCTGATCATGTGTATGGCTCTCCTCTGGACTCTCTCAAGCTTCTCCACATCCTTTTTGAATTGTGGAGCCCAAAACTGGACGCAGTACTCCAGCTGCGGCCTCACCAAGGCCGAGTACAAGGGGAGAATGACGTCTTGGCATTTGCTTGAGAAGCATCTATGGATGCAAGCCAGGGTTTTGCTCACTTTACTAGCTGCGGCATCACATTGAAGGCTCATGTTCATCTTGTGGTCAGTCCTGACCCCTAAATCCCTCTCGTCCGTACTGCTAGTCAGCATAGCACTGCCGAGCCTATAGACATGCTGCAGGTTTTTCCTCCCAAGGTGGAGAGCCTTGCATTTTTCGGTGTTAAACACCATCAGGTTCTCGTTTCGTGTAGTTGGGAATGGTGCCCATAAATTGTAGCTGTGGGGTGGAAGGGGCACTTGGTGCAGTGGTGGTAGAGGTCCTGCACAGGGTGGAGCATTCATGTTAGTCAGTGGCCCATGGTTTGTCTTGTGCAGACTGCATGGTGTTCAGCCCCCATGGGTATAGCCCCTGGGGACTTAGAATCTGGACAGACTTGAGTTAGTACACTGGTTTCTAGGGATTGAATTTATGGCTTGTTTGAAGTAGTAGTAACTCCTGACTTTTGAGGTAAGATCAGAGGTAGGCAAAATTAATTTTGTAATCAGTGTAACTGTTGCATTATCTGTGGGTCAAAAGCAGATTGAATTTTCTGCAAAATGTGCAGCCGAGAGCCCCCCCCTTGCCCGGTGCCCTGCCCGGGGGCCTTCGGCACGGTCAGCGGGCTGCACCCGCGGGGGAGCCGAGCCGCGCTGGGGCCCGGGAGGTTGGCCCGGGGTCGACCTGGTGCCCGAGCTCCACCTCCCCCCCCCCCCCCCCCCCGCCGCCGGGGGGGGGGGGGGGGGGGGGGGCCCCCCGCCGCTCCGCCTCCTCCTCTTGGGGCCTGGGGCCTCCTCCCGCGGGGGACGCGGGCAGCGCACTAATGGGAGTTAGTACACTGGTTTCTAGGGATTGAATTTATGGCTTGTTTGAAGTAGTAGTAACTCCTGACTTTTGAGGTAAGATCAGAGGTAGGCAAAATTAATTTTGTAATCAGTGTAACTGTTGCATTATTTATGGGTCAAAAGCAGATTGAATTTTCTGCAAAATGTGCTGAAAATTCAAATTCTTCTTTTATAGTAGGAATAAGCTGACAGTTTCCCTGCTAAATGAATTCTCAATCCAAAGAAACAGCTGTGTGAATGACAGACATACTGGAAGCTGAAGACAGTGTTAACTATACACAGTAAATTGGTTATGTTGGAGGATGAATGGGATTTTGCAAGACTTGCTTTATCACTACCTTTGATCTACTGGGCCCTTCTACAATTTACCACATTCTCTGGTGACTGAAATGCACAGTCTCTTATGCAGTGAGAACTAGGGCTATACGAAGCTTTGGTTGCTCGTTCAATTCTGAGGCAATCTGGCCCAATTCAGCAGCCGAATCTCTGAATCTAAATCGAATCGGGAGACTAATAAAAAGGTGTGAATTGATTCAAAGCTCTCCAGATCAATTCAGAAAAGATTCAGAGATTTGGGCAGTCCCTGCTTGCCTCCGCAGGGAACTGGACCCAGACTCTGTGCCGGTAATGGGGGGGGAGGCTGGAGCAGGGCGGAGTTCACCATGGGGGGACCCCTGCCTGCTCTTCCAGCCTTGTCAATGACTGCCCCACCTGGCCCCAGCATCCTGGTGCTGGGGGGAAAAAAAAAAGCCCTGCAGTCACCAGCTGCTACAGTGACTGTCGGGGCCTCTGGGGGCTTGTGGCAGAGGCCACCATGCAGTGTGGGGCAGCAGGGATTGCCCCCCTGCCTGGCAGGAACTGGTGAGTGTAGGGCTTTTTTTTTTTTAAAGTGCTGGGACGTGGGGGCCAGGCGGGGCAGCCATTGATGGGGCTGGGAGAGCAGGTGGTAGATGGGGCCTGTTCAATTAGGATATTTGGCGGCGGCCAGATCTCTAAATCAGATTTGGTCGAATTGTTTGAGGACAATGGTTTGAATCACCTAATCGAATCACTGCCCCCTGAATTGGCCAAATCCAAAGCGAATAATAGCTACTTCAAACAGGCCTAATGTAAACATCATGCATTTCTGAGATCTTTCTGCTTAAGGGTTTACTAAATCCTGCAGAGCATGCACAGTTGATGAGAGACAAGCAGAGACTCTACCAGATCCGGTAAACAACTTTGAAAAGAAATACAAATTTAAGGGGCTGTAAGGTTTAAGTAGGTCATTACATTTTTTTTAATATAGTTTTATGAGCCCTTTGCATTGTTCTTTGATCTTTCTTACAGAAAGTTGCAAGTGTGGCATGTGTTTGTGGCTTTTTGGTGCTGGATGTGATCTTAATTTCAAGGAAAAATGTCTGTGGAGCTTCTCCTTGCAGGGGGTGGTTACCGTCAAGAGAAATAGGGCAAGATTAACAACTTGTTATGATTTGAATTTTTAGTCTTGATGATTGTGCTGGATAATAAAGATGCTTTTGATTTCCCTTGCTGCCCCCTACCCCATCATGCGGTAATTGGCTTAAATTGGCCTTTCAGTTTCTTGCATTAGTTTATGCTGACTTTTTATTCTACTTGCATTTATCAGCTTAATCATTGAAATCGGATGAGATCTGTAACATTCTTCTTTTTGTTTTTTGTGCACAGAAAAGATGAAAAGGAGTATGCACTGAAGCAAATTGAAGGTACAGGGATATCCATGTCGGCCTGTAGAGAGATTGCAGTAAGTGTATATAAGTGAAAGTGTCTTTTTATGCTTTATATGGTTTTTTGCTCTGTGTGAGGCGCATCCAGAGTCTTAAAGAAAAACATTAAATTTAGGCATGTTCATTCAGTTTTAAGCTTCCATAAATTGTCTTGCAAATATTTAACTTATAACCTGTCCATAGATGGGAGATTTACATTGTAACATGCCCTTCTGGTGGAGTGTTTTAAGATAAAAGCAAAAATGCTCTTTTGTATTTCAATTGGTTGCCTTCAAAATGAATTTGAAGGAATAATGTTCTGAAAAATGCTCATGGAAAGGTCACTAATAATGTATTTTATTTCAGAATAATGATAGCTTATTCTTTTGTCTGGTCACTGTAATCTTGTTACATTCTATAGATTCAGATACAGAAATTTTTGTAGGCTGATTTTTAGAGGTGCGTTGATATATCAGTCCAATATTGGACCAGTACCGATTTTTGTGTGTGTGTGTGTGTGTATATATATATATGTATATGTATATGTATGTAGTGTGTGTGTGTGTGTGTGTGTGTGTATGTAGTGTGTGTGTGTGTGTGTGTGTGTATGTAGTGTGTGTATGTAGTGTGTGTGTGTGTGTGTGTGTGTGTGTATATGTATGTAGTGTGTGTGTGTGTGTGTGTGTATATGTATGTAGTGTGTGTGTGTGTGTGTGTGTGTGTATATGTATGTAGTGTGTGTGTGTGTGTGTGTGTATATGTATGTAGTGTGTGTGTGTGTGTGTGTGTGTATATGTATGTGTGGTGTGTGTGTGTGTGTGTGTGTGTGTGTATATGTATGTAGTGTGTGTGTGTGTGTGTATATGTATGTATATGTAGATATATATAAAAATTGTGTACATCAGATATCATCCCGATTGGGCTGATAATTTGGCCGATAAATGCGTGTGCTGCGCTCAGCCGCAGCACAGTGTGGAGAGCTGCCTCCAGCTGGTAAGTTGGAAGGTGAGGGGGAAGGGAAGGGGCGTGATGGGCAGATCAGTACCCCCTGTGGTGGTAGGGGCAAGCGCTGCCCAGCTGGGGGGGGGAGCATGGGATTGAGGCATGGCTCTTGGGGTGAGGGCTGCTCCTGCTGCTGCTTGCACCCCAGGGGAGGGGGGCGGGGGGATGTGTGCCCCCAGATCTGCATGGTGCAGGGTGGGCTGTAGCTGCAGGGTGGGGCTGGAACTGGTGCTGCATGGGGCTTATCTTGTTGGGGGCTGGGCTCAGAGCAGGCATCAGCGGCACTGGGAGGAGGCTGCAGCCACCCCAGATTTCGCCACAGCTCTGCTCCCAGTCCCGCACTGCTGCCTACCTCAGCTGCAGTTTTTACTGGTTCTTGGGTGGAGGAGGGGCATTCAGCCAGGACTGTGCCAGGCGGCAGTGCAGGGCTAGGAGTGGAGCTGCGGCAAAATTTGGTGTGCCTACAGCCTCCTCCCAGCGCCACTGGAGCCCATGCCGAACCCAGCGCCTGGCAAGAAAAGCCCCGCGCAGCGCTGGCTCTGGCTCCCCCCCTCAGCTGCAGCCTGCCCCCTGCCATGCAGGTCCAGAGGCATATGCCCCCCTGCCCTCTCAGGGTGCAAGCAGCGACAGGAGCTGCCCCACCCCACAAGCCACGCTTCCATCGCACGCCCACCTCGCCCTGGCTGGACAGTGCCTGTCCCTGCCCCCTCCTTCACTACAGGGGGTGTTGATCTGTGCCCCCATGCGCCTTCCCTCCCTGCTCCCCTTCCAGCACACTGGACTTACCAGCTGATGGCAGCTGTATCAGATTGGTATCCGCCGATATGCCTCCTTAAATATCAGCTATCGGTATCAGCCTTCAAAATCTCTATTGGTGTACCCCTATTAATTTTCCATTTTTCTTTAATATGTTTTTTGCAGCAGTTACCTGCAGTGATCCTACTTAATTATTCAATTATGCTTTTATTCCTAATTTTAAGCACAAATTCTGCCACAAATTCTGAATTATTTCTGCAGCTTTTAAGATGTTACTAGGCACCACATGCTTATATTTAAAAGCAGGATTTGGCCCATATGTTTTTTTGAGACCAAAAATAGTTGTGTGCTAGGAATATACTTTTCTAGTGAAAGACCTAAAGCATTATAAAAGGTACTTGTTTGATCAGATACAATTTTGCCTCCTTTTAATTCTGGTAGTGTGCTCAGTGCTGTAAAAACATAAGATATGACTTGTACCCCAAGCTGTTTATCGTCTAGTACCATCACACAAGAGTGAGGTATTTGAAAAACTGGTGTAAAAGCTCATGGTGGTCAGGAATTGAAGATGCCATGAAGGGAGATTTGGCAGTAAAAGAAGTACTCTCTGTAAAGTAGCCATTGCTCTAAGGTCAAGTTATTCACTTATGGGGATCAGAGGTAGTTACAATGCTGTTGAGCACAGCTAAAAACACCCACTCAGTGACCTCCTGCCAGAGTTTCTGCCTTTGTGAGAATAATACCAGGTCCATCTAACACTAGTGCTAGCATTTATCTTCAGAATCATAGAAAAATAGTGCTGGAAGGGACCATCTAGTCCAACTCCTTGCTTAAGGCAGGATCATTTCTGATTAAACTATCTCAACCAGCCATCTTTATTACTGTATGGTCATTTTTTACAACAGTAATATTTACTTGCCTTTACCTTTTGGCTTCCTTATTGTTTTTTAATTGTATTTATGTTTAGGGGAGGATAGAGAGATCTGTTTTATTTAAAGTAACTTTTTTCTTCCCATCGTGACCATAGGGTGGGGTTGTCAGATGCCAACATAACTGCCTATAAAATAAATGGAGTGCATGCGATTAACTTCCCTATGCTGACATGAAGTATATCAGTATCATAGTCTTGCTTTTTCTTTGTTTGACCTGCTTGGTTCAGGAGTTCACGACAACCTAGAAAAATAACACAACATATAAGGCTTGTAAGTCTATAATATATAACATTCTGACTTCCTGAATGCTTTACTTGACAACTTCTATTTCTCTTCAGAATATTTCCCACAAAACTCCTGTAGCAGAGATGGCATGGCAGGCTACTGCTGACCTTAGTAAAATTTAAGGCTTGGTAAATGCTGTGAAATATTAAAGATGGTGGTGATGTAACTGCCAAAGAGAAACTTAATTTTTTTATGTTATCAACAAAGGTACAAATCTGTCTACTAAGAACCTGTAATGCTCCTTTTGCTTGTGAACTTAGAATTGTATAGAAAAGACACTGGTTTTGGTAAAGACATGTCTCCTTAAGATGGTAATAGCAAAGGGATTCAGAAAAGGGAAGTCTAGGCAAGAAAGAGCCATTGTGCAAACTAAATATATTTTAGTTTCTAGTCCAGTTACTTGGAAATGCATTTGCATGATGACAACCAGAAAGAGGGAATACTACAGATATCTCAAATTTGCAAAGCTCAGGTTTTTTTTTTTCTATGCAAGTGGTTTTGAAGAATTCAGTTTTCAATATTTTAACAGCCTGAACATGATGTGTAAACAAGGGCAGGTAGATTAAGTTGGAAGTAAGGGCAGTGAAGCTAGGTTGCAGACTAGCAAAAGTTCTCCACACTCTTTATTTCATTATGGGGTGAGATGATATGCTATGTGGTAGGTTGTGAACAGTTGCTTGAGGTGCCCTAGATTGATGAGAGTCTTTTGTACATTTTTTTTTCTGTGAGACTTTGATGGTAGACTAAAACTCATACCAATATATTAAGGTAGACTGTATCCTTCAGGGACTATTGAAGCTTGCTTACCAGTATGACTACTTCAATGGCTGGGGTGCCATCTTGAGGCGTTTTACCAAAACCTTGATTACAGTACTAGTAATGCAGTGCAGCTTTGCCACCAGCAACCCAGCATGTTCACAGGTGGCAGATCGTGCCATGACCTTCAGGGAAGGTTAGCTGCAAAATAATTAGGTCACAAGTCCTCAACGGCATAGTACACGGAAGATGTTAGAAAGTCAGCAGCTGCAAGGGCGAACAAAGGCTGCAGCGGAATGAGATCTCCAACTGTCTTGGCCTCCTTGTCATTGGATCAAGGTTTTGTTCTGTCATCAACTGTGGAAGTTGATGTACAGCAGCAGCTGTATGATAAATTATGCACAGGTGTTTTCCATGGAAATGGCTTTTCCAGTACATTCAAGTCCTTTGGTGACCATCTAGTGATGACGGGAGCAGGATTGTGAGGTCTGGAAGCTCTTAGTCATGAACTGGCACAAAGGAGGCAGCTACAAGAAGGTTATCTAGCATTTGTAGCCAGGAGTGTGATTTGGCAACTGTAACTGCAACCGAGTAGTTCTGTTCAGGATCTGCTCTGCTCACCCTGCATGGGGAGGGCCCTAGGAAAGGTGCCCTAAACATAGCCTGGCTACCTTTTCCTGACTGGATAATCGTGTCCAGTTGGATCACCTTTTCAGTCAAAATAACAGAAGACCACAATCAGTTTTGGGACCTCTAGAACAGCAGGGCCCTCATGCAGTGAACACCTAGAGTGCTGCACCACAACCACGGCTTGAGAACTCAGGTAACACAACATTGATGTTGCTGCACTGAATGAGACCTGGCAAGCGGGAGACAGACAGCTCAAAGAAGGAGGCAGCTATGCCTTCTTCTGGAAGGGTAAACAGGAAGAAGAGCATCAACTTCACATGGTTGGTTTTGCTATTAAGAATGAACTTGTAAACCAACTTATTAATTCTGACAGGCAACTCGCTGAGTGCCCCATGACTCTCCATCTTAAACTGGCAGGGAGTTAGTACACCCCTGCCGTTAGTGCTTATTCCCTGACTCTTGACACCATTGATGAAACCAAGGAGAAATTCTATGCCAACCTTGACCAAGTCCTTCCTGATGTTCTGGAGGGAGATGGACTTATTTTTATAGATTCATAGATGCTAGGGTTGGAAGGGATCTCAACAGATCATCGAGTCTGACCCCCTGCCTAGACAGAAAAGAGTGCTGGGGTCAGATGACCCCAGCCAGATGCTGATCCAGGCTTCTCTTGAAGA